TCGCAGTCGATTGTTCTTACGACTGCGACTCTGCGACTCGCATTGTAGACGGCCACGCATCAGGCTCGTCCGCTTTAAGTTAAAGCAGAGAGAAACATTAGAAATGTTCGTAAAAGAAGGCAAAAGTAAATTAAGTCGATAGACACGAGGTGTCTTCTCGCTCCCCAAGATCCCCAGAACATTCGCGTTACGTCGAGACGTGTAAAACTCCCAAAAATAAAAAGAGGAATAGAGAGGGGAATAGGGCGCATAAGACAATAACTAAAGCCCGTATCCCAGATAGCATGCAATGTCTAAAAGACATCTTTCAGACGGCATTAAGTTGTCTTTTAGACATGTATGTCTAGAAGTTGTTTTAAAGATATCTTTAGTACAATGTATTGTACAATATATTGGCGCAATATTGGGAAATAATAATGTAAATCTAGTATTCCCAATATTGGTCCAATATTGTAAGATGGACGCTATCGCTTATTTAGGGCCAGTTTCACAAACGTCGGTCAACCGAAGGTTAATTGCTTCTCTGTCTCTTCTTAAATAATAAGATAGAAAAAGATATGGAATCAAACTTGAGATTAGCAAACTTTACTCCGATTGGTCAAATTTCAATGCAATCTCAATCTCAATCCGCAGCTCGATACGGGCTCGAGATCATAATTCTTCGGTAATCGCCAGCTCTGTGAACAATTAATGGAAGCGACGAGAGCCGGAATAATCGTCGATCCCGATTAAAGGGTCAATCATATTAATCGCGGTGAAACGATCGCACTTTGATGATTAATATAAATCGGAGCGGCGATTCCCCGACGGTGACAGACGGCGCGAATCTCACCCCGCGGTCTCGTGATTACTGATTGCCGATTAATTATTCGATCGATCGCACGCCCGGAGTCCCCGTCGGCCTGTCGCCGTTACTGAACCGGAAGCTTCGCCGCGCAGAGCGAGAATTACCGTCCGCTATTCCGCTCGCAGCTGTCGTCGACACGCGTCGTGACGGAGACGCGTCGCGAGGCGCGGCCGATCGTGCGACTTCGCACCTCGTCCGGGGTACGTGATAACATCTCGACGATGACCCTCGCGACAACTTTGTGTCGCGTCCCAGAAATAACGTCCGCGCCATGGCGTACGAGTGTCCCGAACGAGTGTTCTCTCGTTGATCAATTTTCTGGCACATTCTCCCTCGCTCTCTTTCTCTCTCGATACGCGATAACGTTGATAACGCGCGGCCTCTCCCGAGGCTTTAGACCGACGATACGTGCGAGCGTGTAATTTATCAGCTTATCACGAGTATCGAATTCGCTGCTGCACCTGTGTTACGCAATCGATTCACGTGATCCACGTGTGTGGGTAAAATAGTGCGTGAAATAGTGAACGGCCGGGGGAAGGCGCGATTTCAAAAATGCTCCCTTTGCGTCGACTGCCTCTTGGAGCGCATCGTTTTAGAAATAAGAAACTCGAATTAAGTTTACAGCGTACGATGTACGTCGCGTTTGTATCTCGCTGTACCGACTCGCCTGGTCCACGTGCAATGTGGACGAATGGCGTAGTTTCTACCAAGAGATGGAGAAGGCTCAATTCGGGAATCTTTATTCGAGAATCGTTACATCGAGTGCTTCTCGAAGGATATCGCTTTGGGCTAAAAAGCGCGTTTAAAAATTAATTTTATGATGCACGATTATTTGCTTCGCGATGCACGCATTAAGCCGCCACTTTTGATCGACGTGTAGATCCCAGTGAGACGATTCGTCGATCAGTGTCGGAACGATGTCGAATCGACACCGACACCGTCAAATTGATATCGATTCAACAATGACAGACTCGAAGAGACGCTCGAGATTTAAAGAGACTGTTTTATTCTTTTCCGCTATCCTTTTTGTTGCTTAAGAGGATCCTTCAGCCATCTTTTTTACCGACACACAGTCAAATATAGTTTTTGCGCTTTCAAATACCAATATCTTTTTCATTAGACTTCTGAACTGAGTGTTTGAAGTATGAAAATGTCCTGCTATGCGGCGCGCAACTTATCCTGGTATTATTTTGTGCGTAAAAGCTAATAAAAAGAATTACAAGCGCAAAAACTACATTTGACTGTGTCAGTGAAAAAGATGGCTGAAGGCCATTGATTCTCTTAACACGTTCATCCCCAGCGAGAAATCACTCGTCGATCGACGAATGATTTCCCAGATAGCAAGGCATGTCTAAAAGACGTCATAAAGATATCTTTAAGACACTTTTTAGACGTACATGTCTAAAAGACAACTTAATGCCATCTTAAAGATGCCTTTTAGACATGCATGCTATCTGGGTTCACGCTGGGGATGAACGTGTTAAGTAATAAAAAGGATAGCAGGCAAGAATAAAAAAATCCCCGAATCTCAAGCGAGTCTACCTCACTATAGAAATGAAAAAAAAAACACAGAATTAGCTCAACGGTGCTTTCTTTATAAACGCCAAGTATGATCATGCAATTCTAACTGATCGTCGCGCGAGGACCGGGAATCTCGATTTATCGAGAACTTGATAGTCGCGTCGCCGATCCGATCGTCGTGGCTAAAAAAAAAAAATGAAAGAGGGAAAGAGAGATTGAACGTGAAATTGGACGTTAATCGTCGAGATTAAGCTGACACCCACATTGCAAGCGAAACGCGCAGTTGATCCGACTCTTTAACGCCCACGTGGGAAAAGTAATCGCCCGATCATCCCTAATCGCGATGCTTCTGTGCAGAGAACGCGCGGTGCGGATCTGAGGTGACCGGCGAAGTCGGGCGCGATGAGAGCGCACGTGATAACGTCTCTGACCAAGAGAGCCGCGCCGCAGCTGAATTATTTATCTCGTCGTGGGTCCACCGCAAGGTATCGATCTCACCCCCCGTGAGGATTTAACAGCGTCAAGTACCGAGTAACGTAACCACCGTCCGCTCCCTCCTTCGCCGAAATCCCGCGCAATGACAAGCGCTTAATAACGAGCGCCCGTTTAATCCAGCGCGGAACTGCTAAGTTCTTGTCCAAACCTCCGGCGAACGCCTGATAATAAGCTCTTTAGCCGCGGATTAATAAACATCTCACGTACTTTGCGAAGCTGCAGCCTGTTACTCGACGAGCGGCGGCAAGTTTGACGGCCGCGTACGTCTGTGCATGTGTACGGATTATGTGCGCGCAGACTCCCTCGCTGCCCGTAAAATTTCCCGTAACGTTCGCCGAGATCGTTCTCCGTCGTGTCGTTGACTCCTCTTCGATCCTTTCTTTCCGCTTGTCGGTCCTGTTGTGCTGCGTCTACAATGAGATCTTGAGGACGTAAGATTTAAGAAAGCGATCGCGACCGAATGTGAGAAGAATAATCGACTGCGATTACGTCATTTTCTTAAATCTTACGTCTTAGAGGTCTCATTGTAGACGCCGCGTTACAATCTTCGCAAGATACCGCCCGTGATCGGGCACGAATTGTCGGTCTCTGAATTAAACAATACTCGGGCGACGAAGCCAGTCGAGACTGTCGGTTCTCCCATACACGAGAATGAACGCGGCGGTGCGAACGACTCAGATGTCTGGAATTTTTCAGCACATGCACCACGTACGACCTGGTGATCGTGGGCGGCGGCATCGTCGGCTGCGCGACCGCCCGCGAGATGATCATGCGGCATCCGAACATGAAGCTGGCCATTGTGGAGAAGGAGAACGCTCTAGCCAGACATCAGACCGGCCACAACAGCGGCGTGGTGCACGCCGGCATTTATTACACCCCTGGAAGCATGAAGGTGAACTGAAAATAAAGTCACTCCTTGTTTTAATGGCTCGATATTGCCGGACCTGTGATAACGTTAGCAGCGGAGAGCAAGGGCAGTTAACGATCTTCGTCCGCAACGTGGATACAAACAGCTCCCTTCGATGCGAGCAACACGCCGTGCATTCGATCTTGGGGGTCCAAAAATTGAGCTTTTAATTATTAAATTTATTTAAATTTTTTAAACTTATGTATAACGTAAAAAGACGATTATCCCCGCGATATTTCCAGGCTTAAAAGCGTGAGTGATCTGACGGCGATTGTTTGCAGGCGAAACTTTGCGTGGAGGGCCTGAAGCTGTCGTACGAGTACTTTTGCAAGAATAACATACCTCATAAGAAAGTCGGCAAGCTGATCGTCGCCCAAAATCCGGCTCAAGTCAAGAGGATAGACGATCTCTTCGACAGAGGGACGAAAAACAAAGTGCCGGATTTAGAGATTGTTGAGAAAGATTGCATTTCGAAATACGAGCCCAAATGCAAGGTATAGGCAGAAAAGAGACGATCGCGTCGAATGTAAAAATTGCATTTGAAAATTTGCAATATCAGTATCTCACAAATTTACTTCTAGGTTTTTAATCAGACGCAAATTCTTCCTATCGGAGATATATCGAAAAATTTTACTTGTGCTGTGCCATCGTCTTTGATATATTTATTTTATCTTTTATACGTTACATGAAGAATTTATAGTTGCCTGTAAAAGCGAATAATGAAATTATCTTCTCCCTAGGGAGAAAAGGCTTTGTGGTCACCGTGGACCGGTATAGTGGACTGGGCGGTCGTGTGTAAATCCTTTGCCGAAGACTTTCGGAAGATGGGAGGAGAAATCTTTCTCAATTTCGAAGTAATCGGATTCGCGGAGATGGCGGAATCGAATGCGAAGAGTCAGCTAACTCCCATATCGGTTCAATCGAGAAACAAGGTATGGATTTTCCTCGAGTCGCATATTATTACGCGTGCCGTCTAACATTTTGACAATTTTTCTCATTCAAGTGCATACCAACGAGATACGTGCTGACGTGCGCTGGTCTGCATTCAGATCGACTGGCGGTGATGACGGGCTGCGATTTAAGTCCACGAATAGTGCCGTTTCGCGGAGAGTACCTTCTGCTAAGCGAGAAGCGGCATCTCTGCACGACCAATGTGTATCCAGTGCCCGATCCCAGATTCCCGTTCCTGGGCGTGCACTTTACACCCCGAGTGAACGGCGACATCTGGTTGGGTCCCAATGCCGTTCTTGCGTTCGCTAGAGAAGGCTATAGGTATTGATTACTGCAAAAATAACATTTACTTAAATCTACACGAGACCGAGTAACATTTCCGAGAGTCACGAAAGATCTAAGTATACATCTCTCGTGTGTGCAGTCACGAAAATATTTAAAAGACCTCGTCATGACGTTAAGATCGATTCTCTTTCAGTTGGTTCGATATAAACGTAAGAGACTGCATAGAGATGGCAAAGTTCCCCGGTTTATACAAACTATGCTTCCGATACTTCATACCGGGCTGCATGGAGATGATAAAATCAATTTTCTATCCGTTGGCCGTAAAGGACCTTCAGAAATTTATTCCCGAAGTTACGTACAAAGATGTTAAAAGGTCAGTATTTTTGCGCAAGATCCATTTTCGTAAAACTCTCTCTCTCTCGTAATCGTCAACAGAGGACCGGCGGGTGTAAGAGCACAGGCACTGGACAAGGACGGCAAGCTAGTCGACGACTTCGTTTTCGACGGAGGCACCGGTACGATCGGAAGCAGAGTATTGCACTGCCGAAACGCGCCGTCGCCGGCGGCAACCAGTTCCTTGGCGATAGCAAAATTTATCGCCGACAAACTCGACCGCGACTTTAAATTTTAACCTAAGCTGATGTACATAATTGTCTAATCGCTCAAACGTGCGAAGTGCGATACGGAAGAAGCATTTAAAATGAGAATTCCCAAAGATGATTGCCATATAATTTTTGTATTAAACAATTTTCTTGAAAAATATAAATTTGTATATTGATCTAGATATGTCTTAGTTGTTACAGTAATAAATATTTAAGAAACAACTCGATAAAATAACAGCAAAATGGATCATTATATACAAAATTCTACGCTAGCCTTTTGGTTTTAGTTTAAAATGCCTTGGAACAAAATACGCTACAAATATCGACAAACATCTGCAGTGCTTTCATGCTTTCTAAAAGAAGAGCTACGATTTGTATTTTTATAAATTACCTAATAAGTTATTTTCTAATACGCGGATATAATACATAAAGACTTCACACACGAATATGTACAGTAATGTGCAATAAAGTCGAAATATAATGTATCCATTATCACATATGCGCGCATGAAGCAGATATTAAAAAATGTCTAGATAATTCTAAGCCTGCTTCCTGATATCATAAGACGTGTGGTAGCAAAGTCCAATGCAGCGGTTAGATGGTATCCCATGTTTGAGAGCACAACTCCGTATTCGCTCAAGGCGAACATCGAATACACTGAAATGATACAGCGAGTGCTCTAAGATAACGGAAACTACGTACATATAACGATAAGAATTAATAATCTTACCTAAAGGTTCGCAATATCTATTATGCCTATAAAAGCAGTAACATGCTACTAGTATAGATAATACGTTCAACATCATTGATCTGCTTTTCCACTTCAGGGAAGCATCATTCAAGCCTCTCGTAATGTTCAGGCAACTCTTCATAACGTAATACGCTAGGAACATGTGTACAAACGACGTCATCAGAAAAGTTATGAAAGACATCTTGTGGAATGCTGTAAGGAGAGCGACGAGGCGGCAGATTAATCATACCGTATTGCGCAAACTCTCGGACACGTGCGTTTTGCGTACCGTAATTCTCGTCGGAAGTCCAGAAGCTCAGTGTCACCAGGGAAGTATTTTCAATGGCGTACATAACGAGCGCGACATTGCTCAGGTATCGCGCCCATTTGTAAACATGCTCCTTGTAGTAACGATAGTACAGCATGAACACCAAGGTTCTCACTACGGCTTGCATAGCTATGGCAGTCTTCCAGACGTCTCTCTGAGGTCTGTAGTGGCCTATGGCCGCCGAGACAGACGGTAAAAAGTTGTATACCTGCAAAATTGCGTGAAAGAAGAAAGTAAGTACCTTCCACGGGCTCGTGTAAACCTGGTAAACGCTAACTTACGTAAAATTGGCATTGTAGTTTTCTACTCAACAATGCGTCTGTACATCTATCTTTGTTCAATTCATATGATTCAACTGTTAGTTAATTTACCGAAAGATTGGAACAACCATCTAATACGGTACATTGGATATACTTATTGTAAGTTTTCTTTGGAAGTGTATATTCTATCATTGTCTTATAGTCGTATCGATGTACAGCCACATATTGGTGTACTTCACAGATTTGTGCTCGAAGAAGACCGCAATCCATACGGTCGAAACGTGGTATATTATTTAAGATTAACAAAATAATGCCAGTTGCGTCGAGGGAAAATTGAAGTTTTGATTAATATTCCTGTTTGCGGCAACTTTTTGCTCGTACGTCAGAGAAGCGCTTATTCAATAGGGACAATCATGCTGAGTCACATAATTAAAGCCTCCCCGGCCCGAGGAATAAACCGCTGATCAAAATCATGTACACTAATGCCCACTAGGCATTACTTAATCTTATCATCTTTTTTAACTTGCTTCATCTTATTTTAGCTTTATGATGTTCCAGCAAGACCTGCTGCAGTGTGTACCCAGTAATGCCGCAGATCCGTGCACTCAGCGGTTTACCCCTCGGCGCCGCCAGTTCGGTGACGGTTACACAATCAGTTCCGGCCGCACCTGGCAATGGGTGGAGGTGGAGTGCTCGAAGTTGTAGACGACCGACCAGGCGACGCAGAAGACGAATGCCAGGAACGGCAGCAGCACGGTGGCCCACGCCACCCAGGAGAACGGCACGACGAGGCGCGCCTTCGCCATGTCGTCCTCCGCCAACGGAATGTACTCTGACCCTAATCTTAGCTTGCTCATGGTAGTAAACGACCGGCCGCGTTATCTCAGTCTACGTCATTGCGCGACGATGAGGTTAACGCGCCAATTGAGGGCCGGCGCGCGCGATCCTCCGCGCGTGCCTCCCCCGGTTCCTCCTGGACGCGACGACGACGGCGACGACACGACTGCGCCCTGGCCGCGAGGAGCGAGCGACGATCAACGCGAGCTCGCGAACCCGCATCGTAGACGGTTCTCTCCGGGTCCTCGGCGAGGAACCGTCCGGGGCGTCCGGCGTCCGACTCTATCAGGCTGGCCACGTGCCACGCTGGCGCCATCTGAAAGTTCGACATCACGGGAGATCTCGATCAATTTCAATCCTCTCGATGTGTTCAACGATTGCGTACCCGTCAGGTTTCAGGCGTAGAGGATCGCTTGCAGCTGATCTCGAGTAGTGCATGAATGACGTAAAAGCCTGCCGTTAATTTTCTACATGGCAGTTTTCGTACGCACCCTCCCTCGTTCCGGTTTATACTCCGTTACGTCTTCCCCACCGCGGAAGTGCTTTTACGCAGACGATTTCCGCCAAATTTTTTAAATAACAGTAATTAACGAATATAACAGCTATTTCTATCGTTACTTTGCACATTTTGTACTTTATAAATCTTTTATATACTTTATGAATCGATCTTCAAGTTTTGATACTGTATATATGTTATAAGACTTGTAAGTTATAAAATTTATAAAGCTTTAAGCGCTAGTGCGCGAGTATGCGATATACAGGCAGATACAGCGACGATAGCGATAATCATCCAAACAATTCTATAATCAAAATCCTATACAATAATCCTTGTAGTTGCATTTTAAGTACTAATTAATTTCTTATTTAGTCTTATCTCTTGCCTCGTCTTGGCATTAAAAGTAACGAAAAGAGGAACGAATCGTTACTTTTTACATAATAGTAACGGTAACTAGTTATTTTTAAAAAGTCACTTTCCTATCCTTGATTTTATGTTTTAGAGAATATAGCTGGAAGGACACGAATACGCTCTGAGTTGCAGTTTTACGAAAATAATTATGAAATGATATATGTCCTCCAATACCAATTTCGGAATCGACGCAAAATAAAAACCGTGTTTGCAACGATTTTCAAAAATGGATGCTGCTATCCTAATACTTTTTTCTTGTATTTTCTTGTCTTCTTCAACGAATACCACTACAGCAGCTGCAGGAGCTGTACGTCGTCTTTTGATCTCCTGTGCAACTATATTGATGTGACCGTATTCCACTTTTGTGCTTAAGGGGGCTATTATTCTAAAATAAACAACAGCCCAAAAAGCCATCGAAAATATATGCTCCGCGAAGAGGAAGGAGGCGAATAGCGGTAGCTTTTCAACGCCGATTTGAATTGGCGGTGGAGTGGGGGTAATACGCTAGCTTTTCTTCGCTCTATGAAATGGCACCTTGGCTGTCGAGCGCTCTGCTCCGATTTTCCCGTCTCCACAGGTCTCGCTGAACGATCAAGACTGAGAAGTACCACCGCGCGGGATTTCCCGCAAAATCCGGCATCGGTTGAGGTTAGAGTCGTCGATTCGGGGCGCAGTCTTGGAAGTGCGCGTCCTCAAGTGGTCTCCATCGCTCCGGCGATCGACGGCAGGGACGCCCCGGTTCTCACTCCCTCGCATCCGGCTTCCTCGTGCAACATGACTTCGTTCGTAGCGGATGTACTGGCCACGGCAGGTAATATTTACAAATGGTCACGTTTGAGCGGCTAGAGACGGTCCGCATCGGTTCCCAACTTCGTATCCTTCCGTGAATCTAAAACGGACCCTTCGTTAGCTAGAAACCGTAGAACGATTGTGCATGAAATTTATCACAAATGAAAATGTATGCCAAACGATGAGCGATATTTCTCGCCGTGCAGGTAAACTTGAAAAGGTGAATCTCCATAAGAACATTGCCGAGATACAGAAGGAGATAACGAAGCTGGAATATGAAGTCAAAGACTTTATGGACGACAATTACGTCGAGTTCAATGCGAAGCTGACGAGAGATGTGCACCTGGTGAAGCGGACGGAGCAGCTGTTGGAGGAGATAAGTATTTTGCAGAGCAGAATAAACGACCAGGTATGCCGTGCCGGCGTCCGTCGCCTCCTGAATGCGGCGAGACGCACGCTTAACAGTACTGTTTGCCGCACAGATAAAAATAGAGCTGTCGGGATCGACGAAGGAGCTGAAGGCGCTCTCCCAGGCGTTGAAGGAGTCCAACACCAGCCTGCAACTGTCCCACCAGCTCATCGGCCTACACAAGTGCATAAAATCGGTGAGGAAGACGCAGGAGGAGAAGGGGTACGTCGAGACCGCCAAGACTCTGCAGCAGATGCAATCTCTGTTGGACAATCCTCACAGTCTTCTGCACGATCTCGAGATATACGCGGCCATCAGGAATGAATACCACGATCTCTCTCGCTCGTGCCTGGCGGAGGCCTCCGGCCTCCTGCGCGATCGAATCTGTTGGGGCGAGGACGCGAGGGAGGGCAATGCGGTCACCTCTGTTACCGTTAAAACTGAATTTGACGACGTACAGCAATTGGTGCAAGGACTGCACATCATGGGCCATCTCGAGACTGAACTCGAAGTATTTTCCACGAAACTCATGGATTCTATTATTAAGCCCGTCATTTACGATCACTGCTCGGTGTACGTAGTCAACGAGAGGGTGTTCACCGTCGAGATACTGCAGAGGAAAAAGATGCCGTGTTACAAGGGCGTGCTGTACAACTTGGAGCTGCTCTTCAAGTTCCTCTATCAGCATTTAAACCTGACGGTCGCGGACGACGAGACCTTCCTGAGAAAGTTGCAGCCGCATCTGCTGGAACGATTGTCGCGTCCCCTGATAGCGGACTGCATCTCCCACATCATCCCGACTTCTAACGCGGACCTGAAAAACTTCGAGCCTGTGGTCGAGACGATTACCGAATTTCAAAACTACTTGGTAGTAATTGGTACTTACGCCTGATAATTCGTGGGATGAAGATATTTTGCCTTTGTAGCGCGCGGCGTTAAACGATGAACAATTATTTCAGGATTTCTCTCCGAGGACCAGCTCTTCTTATCGGAATACACGAATAACATTGACAAACTCTTTATCAATAGAATATGTCAGGATTTATTAGTCAAAGCTAGAAGTATAATGAGGAAAGATCTGCACGATTCTGTGCGATACGAGCCGCAGGTATGCGTTTAACGCTGTCGATATGTTAAACTAATAGATGTGTAAGGCTGTTGTACATATAGCCTGGTTTTCTATTATTCGGTTCTGTTGTAGGAACCAGCCAAACTTATAAATAAAACGTTGGAGAACGACTGCGAATTGTCTATTGAAAAGGCGTTAAGTGACGTGTTGTTTCAGTTACCAAAATGTCAAATAAGGTATGAATTCAATATGTAGGAATTTTATGAATTCCGATTCTGGCAGCTTTTTCCCACTATCGTGTATAATTCTGTGAAACGATACTAAATACGACCAATTGCACTTTAGCAAAAATGCACAAGAGACGCTGGAACTAGCGAGAACGATACTGGACGAGGCTTGCGATAGCTCGGATGCTTGCGCCATTAGATTATTTTACACGTGTAGAAATGTATTCGAAATGTACGCCGGTCTAGTGCCCGAACATCATAAGAAGTTCTTGGAGACAATACCGCAACAAGTTGGTAAGAACACATAACAGAAAGCTAAATGTGACGCGAATAAAATTGAATATTAATTATTGTCACCATTATGTCTAGCTCTGTTTCACAACAATTGCATGTATCTCGCCCACCACCTGCTCACATTGGCGCACGAATACAGAGACAGATTCTCGACAATTGTACAAAAATTGAACTTGACATTCGCGGATCAGGTGACGACATTCCGGGACGTTGGATCGCAATACTTTCTAGATCATATGAGATATCAGAGGAACATTATTTTCGACATCATCAAGGATTCAGGTTTACACTTTATACAGTTAGCCGCGACGAGAATTGGAGTAAATTTAGCTGAAATGTCTTTCATGTTTGCAATCAGGTTTCTCAGGATTGAGCCAAGCGCCTCAGCTAGATCCTAGCACCGAGCGTGCATTGAGACAATGCATAAGACAATTGGAATTATTGAAGACTGTGTGGCTGGATGTATTGCCTATAAATATCTATTGTAAAGCCGTCGGTGAGTCCTTTTGTTCTTCAGATTTTTGTGTTTTAATAAGTTTCTAATTTTTCAACGCACCTTAGGATGCATAACAAATTCCATGATTGACGATTTGGTGACGAAAGTCGTATCTGCGGAAGACATTCCAATTGATGTCGCGACAGAACTGGTAACTCTATTTAATATGGTGGTGAAACGAACGCCGCCGATATTTCCTGTAAGTATATATAATGCGAGAGACATGACGCAAAAAGAAGTACAAATATATATACGATAAGTTTAACACGACGTAATTTTTATTGCACTCAATATCATACATTCGACATTATGAAGAAGTTGTTCGACATAGATAGTAGCGTTCCAACTGGTCCCTGTAAAAGTTAAGCCATAAGAATATTATTCCGTTTATCGAAGCAGTTGCACATTAATTGGCGCTTTCACTTTATAGGATCAACAGATTCAGCAGCATGTACGTAAATGGCGGAAATTTTTGGAACTGATTGAGTTACTTGGCGCGTCGCTGAAAGAAATCGAAATTAGATGGGGAAACGGGAAAGGGCCATTAGCACAGGAATTCACTGCTCCACAAGTCAAACAACTGATCCGGGCAATATTCCAGAATACGGACAGAAGATCTAATCTCTTAGCTTCCATAAAATAAGAATGTAAGATAAAAAAATATATATATAAAGAATAACGAATGAACAATATCAAGCTTTGTATCACACACATTCCGTATTAAAGTTGAATGCACAAGATGGACCGAGACAACTGAAGGGAAGATAGGCATATAATTTTATACATTTTTATACAAAGGAATAAATGTATCAGAAATAAAAGATACTTTTGCTCGTTGCGATATGTACATACATATAAATAAAGATAATATTAAAAACTTGAAACGGTTCCGTTATCTCAACATTATAAATTGATTAGATAAAAAACTTGAGATTAGTAACATAAAAACTGTTTGACAATTAAAATTAAAAGTATTAATAAATTAAGTTCTAAGCATAATTTTTTAAAATTAATAATGGAATTTTACGAGAGGAAGTTAATATTGAAGAATTAAACACCAAAATTACTCAACATTGAAAATTAACGTGTCAAGACGTGAATTGCATCTCAAAAAGATCTCTCACAATTTAATCAAGTCTAATTTTCTGATTTATGAAAAGCACATAAAAATTTTAAGTCTTTAATTTTCAATGTCAAGTGATAATCAAATTATGCTAATATTTAATATGACAAATTAATATCCTTTTTGTCGAGATACTTACGTGAATGCTTTACAACTTACAGTGAACTTGCGTACGTCCGAATTTTGTGTCGGGATTAAAGCGAGAATTCCTTTTCCAAGAATACGATTCAAGTATCAAAATACACGAAGAACGTCGCGCAAACACAACATTATGTAAAGGAGTAACGTATCCAATAACACGGAAATTGGCCTGTAAGCTGGTGTCGAGAAACTCCAAGTAACGAAACAGGCAACTGCACGTGGTAAAAAGAATTTTTTTTTCGCGAAGTGACGGAAAAAGAAACATCAGATTACGTTATCAATCATAGTGAACTGTGAAAAAATAATCAGTCAAGCAGGCAGGCAGGCAGGCAGAAGGTGGCGGTCAGTAGTGAGCGCAAATCGTTTAATATCTCAATTTCCAATTCCATCTTTTACAGTGGAGATAATATACATCATTACCACTATTTTTATCACTTTCTTATTTACGAGCATCTGAAATGACAAAAGTGGGGGATGCTCAGACGTTCTCTTTCCAAATGCAGCACTGTATCCGCACGTATATCACAAAACTGAAGTTGTGGAAGATACATATCATATATGGATCGCGTTTTTTTTGGCTTCGCAAGATTTTGATCTCGTCGTTTTGTGCGTCGAAATTGCCAAGGTACCTTTGCGAGCACCCCGCCTTTCTTCGCTTGCACAACAAATTATCAACTGTTATATGCGAGCAGCAGTTTGCATTTGGCTAGTGTTGCGCGCGCGATTTACTGTCTCCTTTCCGATTCCATATAAAATCGTTACTATTCATAAAACGTTAAGCGAGCACACGTTTTCTATCTAAATACGTGAGAATGATATTCACAAGATTGTGGACCGTCGTTAATTGCAGTCACGGAAACTTATCTCGGAAAGCTGGAAATAGTGGTAGCTAAAAGCCAGTAAAGTAAATCAACAAAATTACGAGATGCTATTACTTTTAAACGGTCGTGGGATTATATGTATGCAAATGAGACTCGAGGTCTGTATTATAATCGTAAACCAAGGACCACAAAAAAAATTCTACGTACTAAAAATCTAAAATGTACGTAAAGGAAGGAGAGATCTAAAAACAACCCACAGTACGGTTTCGTTTCAAAGCAAATTGATGATTGTAGATAGTGTTATAGTCTCTATAGATTACAGCTCTATGTTAATTACTTCTTCGAATATTAATCGTTCTCTTGAACCTTCTGCGGTTCGCGTGTTTCACGCTTCGCGTGAGAATGCTCTTAGAGGGAACTGTCGAGTCTGTTAATCATAGAAAATGTTCCCCGGCAGCGACCACGGATCGTATGGGAGTGATACAATGCACGGAAAACATTGCACAGCGCAAACTGCAATGGTAGCTCTCGTCTATATACAGGTCGCTGTGTAGATTGGACAGAAATGAAGTCGTCGAGGCGGGTGGCTGATCGGCCCGCAGTTCAGATTGGCAAGACGCAGCGTAGTTCTTTTATGTGCATTCACGTAGATGACGATGACTGTGAACATGGAAGTGCAAAACAGGTTGTCACATTACTTCGCCCCCTCTTGACTCCCATTGACTGAGAGCCGGCAGTAGCTTTGATACTTTTACTTTGTGCATGCAATTAAATGAATCTGCATCGTATTTAGTGATAGCAACGGATCCTCATGCACATAGGAATCTTTTTCACGTAATTTACGTCGAAATTCGTCCGCCCACACTTAACAATTAGGCCGAAAGCGAGAATCGCAAATTTCTTTTTCTGCAAGCTAATCCGTCAAAGTTTCGCCGTGAGTTAGACAATTCTTTCAGACACAATCCTCCGTGCCTATTCCGACACGTTTACGCGCGATTAAATATATTTATCTATATCGTCAATTTATCCTCTCGTCGCACAGATACACCACCCGTCGTTAAAAATTTCCTTTTCCGAAGATCCTTGAAACGATACGAGAGTCTCTAAACGTGGAAACTGAAATGTCCCTTTCGTGTTCGGGGAACACGAGGACGCCTTTTTCTTTTTTTTTTCAAAGCACGGAATCTAGTTGAGTCAAATTCCGCTCGGGTACCTTCTCCCCCCCGCGAGTCAAGGAGCTAAACAAGCTTTTGTTGATAAACGTGACGCGAGGTGAATATCAATTTTTAGATGGGTCTCGTCAATACCTGCCACGGCCGGCGGGCGAGCGGCTGCGATACCTCGCCGTGCTCGTCTCCTTCCCGGTGTAGTAGTCGGCGCCAGCGTCCCCGCTACTACCACCGTAGACGTCTTGCGTATATCCGTCTCGCGTAACATACCCGCTGCTGCGATTGAACATATAGTCTTCTCCGTAACGACCTCTGCCCCTACTTCCGCCACCCCTGCCTGTATAATAGCTGCCTCCGTAATCCCCGTAAGTACTGCCCCTGTAACCGGCGGAGGCGGCGCCTCCGCCGCCCCGTGAGCCGAAGTCCCTACCGCCAACCCCGCGACTGCCGCGGAAACCGCCCGCGCCACCGCCCCTGCCGCCGCCGCCGCGGCCCCTACCCCGGGAGATCTCCACCCGCAACTTTGCACCCATTATCTCCATGCCGTTCATGTTGCAGCACGCCAGCTCGGCCTCGTTCATGTTGAAGAACTCGATGAAGGCGAAGCCCGGCGGGTTGAACGCCACCCAGACCTTGTTCAGCTTGCCGTACTTCTCGAACTCCATCTGCAGGTCCTCCTTCTTGATGCTCTCGTTCAGCCCGCCCACGTACACGCGCGTGTACCCCTCCGGCGTCATCTTGCTGCTGAAAACACCACGGGAGCGATTAGTCGCGTCGCTCATGTTCATTCGCTTCGCGTAGCTTTCGAGCCAACGGCCTCGGCAGAACGGACAATGTCTTGGGTCTCAAGTCCTCGTCCTGTGTCTTAGGGGGTTCAACGGTTCGACTTAGGAACGGCCGTTCTGCTCGGGCCCTAATTCTCAGGCAGGTGGTTTCACTCGTGCTCTCGTTTCTCAAGCTCTGCGATTGCTTGGCAATAATTCAAGATTACACTTGAGACAAACTGAAATACAAGAACGGACTTAACTTGGAATCTTACTGTCAGTTTAATTCACGTTTGTCTCTTTCTAGAGTAACAGTTGGAAGGAGACAAACAACGAATTAAGCCAAGCTAAAGACGTTGGTGAAACCGAGCGCTTAGAGTCAGTCAAAGGTCAGGGGGGGGGACTTTGTATGTTGGGCTTTTTCTTCTGGACAAAAGGACACAGAGGGGCCCATTCTGTAAACGTTAACGACACCACTGTGTGTGTGTGTGTGTGCTCCGCGGAGTTTTTCGCCGGCGCAGAGCACGCGACAATAACGTTTACAAAATAAACGACCGACAACTCATCGTGAAACGGCTCTAATTGTTCGCGCTCGTTGAAACTCAATCGTCGCACCGGCCGAAACGACGCGCGGACAAAACGCCGCTCTCGCGCCGCGAGTCGGAGAATAGCGCGAGCCGCGCGCGGACAAGCGGAAGCGGATAGGAACAATCAAGAATACATAATTGTGCCCGTAACGCGCGCTCCTCGCCGAGAGTCGCTCTTTGTCTCGGCGCAACAATGACGGATCCCGGAAAGGTTCACCCGGCGGGGGAGACGCGTCCGAGCAGGTACCTCTCTCTCTCGCGCGCGCGCGCGCGGGGGGGGATCGAGAACGGGGTACGCGGTCGCCACAACGCGGCCATGGCGGGTATTTTCGTTGGCGGCGGCGGGAGACGCGACGGGCGGCGAGGACGCGGGGCGCCGCGAACGACGGCCGGGGGATCGGCGCCGCGAGGAACGCGTCGGCGGAGCGCGCGAGAGACGCGTCGGCGGACGTGGACGGGGGGGCTCGCGCGGGTTTACGCGCCAACGGGTTCGAAAGCCGCGTCCGGCTGCCGCTACTCACTCGTCGTCGCCGCTCCGGTCTCACGGCAGCCTCGGCTGGGCCACTTCTCTCGTCGCCGATCGGCGCGTCGCCGCGGGAGACGAGCAGGAAGGCAGGCGGACGTGTCTCGGGGGAGACCGCGGGTTACCCGTTCACGCCGTGCGACGCGACACCGCGCAATCGATAGGAGCGGATCCAACCGGGGTTCACAGCGCACAGAGAACCATGTCGCCCTGCACTCGCGGTCTCCAACCCAGACGCCGGTGAGTTCTCGCGCGCGACGCAGCCACGGAACACGCGTGCTGCTAGACTGCCGCCTCCGAGCTGAAAAACGACCTCATTTGCCGGGCGGAATATGGCGGTGCTGTTGCTTCGCTTTTTAGCTCGAAGGTAGCAGTCTAGTAGATTGCATACTAGTCTATGGACGTGACGCGGAGCGCGGCGTCTCGCTCGCGCTCACAGACTTTTATGTGCCACTAGACTGCTACACCCTCGAGCCGCGGCTCGCGATCGTGGCATCTTTTTCTCTAGCGTAAGCTCGTGAAAAGTGATAACTTTCGTTTAGCGAATTCAACATTTGTCAATATTGAGGAAAAGACTCGTGACGGAGTCTCCGCCATGTCTTGTCGGGTAAAGAAAATAGTATGTGTGTCATTGACACACCAGTGCACACACACTACTCTATTTACCTGACAAGACATGGCGGAGCTCTTGCCTCACTTTTCAGCTGGAAGGAAGGCAGCATAGTATAACTAGTATGCCCACTCTGTCATTTCTTTTGTTCTGCGTCGATCCTTTCTCCGCCATTTTTTTGGTGGAGCCAATGAGACGGATGTTGTATATGCGGTAGTGTAAAATCAGCGTGACTGTGGGCGTTTTCCAGCAAGGACACAGTGTTAAGGCCTTCACACATAAAATTCCGTAAGGACGTAAAACGTAAGCATAAGAAAATCGACCAATCACAGTCGAGAACGTAAGGCAATGACGCAAGCAGTAGCAAATCCAACCTGTTGATTTTCTTACGCTTACGTTTTACGTCCTTACGGAATTTTATGTGTGAAGGCCTTAACACAGACTACGTTTCCACCGAGGGTCAGAGTCGGGCTAGAGTC